CGCAGAGTAAAGGACCAACCGAACTTGGTTTTATAAAAGTAAGAAATAGGGGTTAAAAAACACATTGAAGCAGAATTATAAAAGGTCTTAAGTGATATTAAAAGGTGTTAAACAGGCACAAAGAAGCCATTAATTTATTAATGAATTTATTTAACAAATATTATTGAGCATCTCCTGTTTGCCAGGTTGATTCCTAATTGAGTGATGGTGAGAGAGTGCTGTAAAAGCAAAGTCCCTTCTTCACGGAGCTTTTCTCCCCATGGGAGACAAATAATAATAAAACACAAACAAGTAAATACATAGTCAGTCAGGACTGGTGACAAGGCAAGGGCGGCGTAGGGGAATAGAGTCGGGGAGGGTGTGGCCCTGATACACACTGTGGTCTGGGAATGACGCACTGCCAGGATGACATCTGAGAACAGACCTGAAGGAAGTGAGAAAGCTGAGGGAGCCTGGGCCGCAGTTTCCCCAGGGAAGTTCAGCACAGGCAGAGGTGGTAGGAGGTGCAAAGGCCCTGGGGCAGGAACACATTTGCATCATCAGTGGCCAGTGGTTGGAGGAAAATGTTTGTGTGAGAAGAAGAAATCAGGAGGGAATGTTGAGAAGTGAGACATGGGCAAGATCAGCTCGGACCCCGGTAACGATTTTGGCTTCTACTATGAGAAGCTAATGGAGATTCTCACCAGGAGTGACATACTTTACGATGTTCACTCTGGGGGAATGAACATGCAAACAAGGAGGCCAGGGGAGAGATGCTGGTGGGTTTTGAACCAGGGTGGTGTCTGTGGAAGAGATGAGAAGTACTCATTAATTTCTAAATAGATTCTGCAGATAAAGCGGAAATCGTTTGCTAATAGATTCGCTATGGTGTGGGAAAGAAAGATAAAAGATGAGAATGACTCCAAGGTGTTTAGCCAGGGAACTGGAAAAATAACATTCCCATGGATTGACATGGAGAATACAAGAGGTGTGGGTTAGAATAAAAATAAGAAATTTGATTTTGGAAAACAAGCGATTAATGTCTTGTGCTGTCCATTACTAACCATCTGTGGGATTCAGATTTACATTTTAGTTGATGAAAGTTACATCAAAGTAAAAAATCCAATTCCTTAGTTGCACTCACAATATTTCAAGTGCTCAATACCCACTTGCGTGTGGCTACTGCCACCAGATTGGACAGTGCGGTGTCACCGAGCTTTTTGGTCACTGAGAAAGGCCCACTGGGCGCGCTGGAGACACGCAGCCTTCACTGTGCGCTGGGCCCTGTGCTTCCTGTGCACATCCCACCGAATCTTCAATCAGCTCCACAGGTCAGGCAATGTCATATATTTACAAAGGATGTGACTAGAGTTCAGAAGAGTTAAGAAACTTGCCCTAAGTCACACAGCTCTTAAAGGGCAAAAAGCCAGAATTGGATTTCAGGACTGCCTGCTTCCAAAACCCAAGCACATACATCATCGCGCTCTAGTTTAGAAGGCTAAGCTAGTCTGAAACCAGACGTGACATCCACAGGGACCCGTCCACCAGGCTATGGGCAGCGGGTGTTGAAGCCCAGGAAGGAACCGGGAGAGCTGGGAGATCTGGGGCAGAGGGAGGCTCCCGGAGACCTGTGTGCTTAGAACTAACAGGACACACTCCAGCGCTCACCAGTTCCGAAGAAAACACACCCTCTGCAGGCCTAGTTCATGCCTCTGCATAAGGGTCTATTGATGTTAAAGGGTTGCTTAGCAGAAAGAAGGGCTTAATTGACACCAGGTAATATAAAGTTCAGATCCTATTCTACCCCATGATTCTCAACAAGGTACGGTACCACTTAGAAGACATCTGGAATGTACGGGGTGCTCGGGGTAGGCTGAGGGGGGTCGTGGGCGTTGTGTGGCAATGACTTTAAGACGCTGATCCCTCGATGCTGCTGCAGCCCAGCACAATGCAGAGAACTTCTCACCCACCAAGTCAGGGCTCCGCATCGTGGGCAACATGGCCCTCGAGCAATGCCCGCCCATGAGCTGAAGGATGGAAGTGAGGACGTGGTGGGAGGCAGTGGCCCAAGACGTGTCGGACACACTGCTCCCCAGTCTGCTGTGGGCTTGCCGTGCGGCTGGGGGCCGCTGCCTGGACTCACTTTTCTCAACTGAGTCATGCAGAACACAACAGTGAACACCCATCTGGGATGGCTCTGAGCATCATAACACTGAAATATTGGCCCAGGGACATAAATGTACTGTTGTCAGAAGCAGGACGAGGGGATGAAAGAGGAACTCTAGGATGGAGACGAAAATAACCAAGATGGTAAAGTATGGTAGCAATCATCTCAGGTAGAAACTGTAGTTTAACTCTAACCCTGCTGTTTGGTTTCTGTATTTATTTGCTTGCTAAAATAATAGAAAAGTTATTTTAATTTTCTGAATTATATAAATCACCCCATTTGATTAAATACCCTATTGATTGTAATGTGAATATCCCATTGGTTGTGGTCATACTGGTCTTAGAAAGCACATTTTCCTTTACCTGGGAAGGACAGCACAGTTATCCCAAGGTCAGAGGGCTCCAGTTAACGTGTCCCTGTTGACTCAGTGTTCCGGAGACCCAAAAACTGTAATTTAGATCAAACCAGGTTCCTCATTCCAGACCCGAGGGCTCTCGATACTGTGTTTCTGTCAACTCAGTGATCCGGAGACCCAAAACTGTAATTTAGATAACATGCTGCTTCTGCTTCTGTAAACTGCTTTTTTTCGAACCAGGTTCCTCATTCCAAACCCTGGGATGTAATCAATACCTTTGTGATCTTTGCCTATAAATCTGGTGTTGCGGCCACCTTATCACTATGAGATTTGGGAGATGCCCCCTCATAGTCCCGGATTTGCAATAAATGTGACTCTTTAATTCGACTTCTTGAGGCGTCCTTGTGTGATTTGCAGGGTACATTACAACAATGGAAAGTCAGATAGAGAAGCCTGTGGAGAGCAGCATGGTCCCATAGAAAATATCGCAGGTTCAGTTCCCGACCGCAATGAAGCGGTGGCGTCTTTCCTTAGACCTCATGAGCAACCTCTGCAGCTTCACTTTCAGGCCCACTTTCCCTCCGCAGCCTCCGCAGGACTGAAGTGAGGGCCTTGCTGTGGGTGAGGCTTTGCCTTGAGGGAATGTTGGGGCTGGTTTGATCCGTCCAGACCACTAACACGTCTATATACCGGCAGTGGGGCCCTTTCACTTTCTTATCACTCCTATCAGCACTTTCAATGTCCTTCAAGGGTGTTTCCTTTGCTTTCACAACTTGACTGTTTGGTACAAGAGGCCTCGCTTTCAGCTTATCTCAGCTTCCAACCTGCCTTCCTCCCAAGCTTGCTCACGTCTAGCTTTTCATTTGAGGTAAGAGACGTGTGACTCTTCCTTTCACTTGAACATGGAGGGGCCACTGTAAGCTTATTAATTGGCCTAATTTCAATATTTAAATTACAAAGTGTTTATGGCTATTTTTCCATGACAACTGTCTCTGCCACGAATTTAAGATTCTCAAGTTGACACATAGTTCAAATAGCATGGGGCAAGCTTAAGTGATGGGTAGTGTATCTGTCACAGAAGTAGCTCTCTATATAATTTCAATATAGTACCCTCAAGACTACCCCAGACTCTATGGAATTCATTATTGTTAAAACTCATCCCTAATTTCCTATAAAGTTTTTTTTTTTCTTAAAAAAAAAGCATTCAACAGTGGTATAGCATAAACACATTTATTTACTAACGAAACGGTCGATCTTAATTAAACCAACTCAGAAATAGTTGCATGTAAAATGGTTGTGATAACTGAACACAGTAAAGGGGAAAAAACGCGTGGAGAGATTTGCTCATTGAACTGAGCTTGTTTATCCTCATGGCTAATTCCCGCCTGGAAGGATGATGGAATTCTTACTCCACTTTCTCATAGACCCGAGTACAATTGACATTGTTCATGACGCATTCCTGGGAGAGAGAATGATATTGATGAGTTAGATCTTGTGTCCTAGGGCAATGGTGGAAGTTAAGTGCTAGGATCAGAATCCTATGAAACCTTGTCATCTGTGTTACAGATGAAGATACATGTTAGGATTCCTGGGTTTTGTAAAGCTAGAACCTGTTATTTTGCTTAAGATATGCATGTGTTTAGCTGAACTAATGTACTGATTTGTAGTATCTAAATTACTCATTTGGTCTTGACAAACAGTATTCCTCATTTTAAAGTGTGTTTTTAAAAAATTGACTTTTAGAGAGAGGAAAAGGGAGAGGGGTAGAGAGAAACATCAATGTGAGAGAAACATTGATTGGCTGCCTACCATGTGCACTCCGACCAGGGATTGAATCCCCAACCTGGGTATGTGCCCTGACCGGGAATCAAACCTGCAACCTTTAGGTGTACAGGACGATGCTCCAGCTAACTGAGCCCCACCTGCCCGGGTAGTACCTCAGTTTAAAGAAATGGAAACTGCATGCCCCAGCGGGCAGTTTGGTGGGTTGCCTATGATGCTGGCCAGTCACAGCAGGGCCCGGAGTGGACCCAGCCCGGCAACACCCCTGCCCATCCCCTCTCTTCTCTGTCCCACAGAGGACTTTGTAGTGTTCAGTGCTTAACTAGTCATTGTGCCCTTTTCTACCCCGGCCTCGCTGCCCTGCTTACGATCAGCGACACACAGTTGTGTGAACTACGAACGTGCCCAAGAGGCCAGAGGCCGGCACTTACCACCACTAGCTTCCCGCCCTCCAGCCGCCGCGTGATGGTGCTCTCCTTCCCGTCCCACTCCTGGTGCTGGACCAGCGCACCGTTGACGAAGTTGCAGACGGTCTGCAGAGATAAAGTGCACTTTTTAATTTTCCAGAGGACGTTACCGGGCAGGTCCCGTGACGCATAACCTCCTTGATCAACATTTTTTCAGCTTTCCCATTCTGCGTCTACTTCAAGCCAGTTTCACTCATAATATAGTTGATGCTTGTCAACCTAGATGCACATAAGAGACACTCAAATGCTCATGTTCCTTAAACTAGTTTTACAAAGTAGACTAAGTTGTGATACTGGTCCTTTCACACTAATTTGTCAACTCGAGTCATAAAATAACTTGAGATGTCTTTTATTCAACAGCTCCTGCCTGTAAATGCCAGAATGTTATTCATACAATCTATCATTCTAGAAGCTTCTGTGAGTGTGTAAGTGATGCCTGACCTGAGTTTTCCTGCCATCTGCTGTGGTCTCTTCAAACTTCTCTCCCAGGTTGCATGAGAACTGGGTGGTCTTCAACGTGCTCTCGGTTCTGACGGTGAGGTGTGTGCCGTCGGAAGTGATGACACAGTCTGGCTTGGCCATGGCGCCCATTTTCCGCATAGCCATTCCCACACCTGTGAATGTCAATCACATTCTCTGTCAGGAGGACCAGAGTTACAGCTTACAGAATGCAAGATTCGAGCCCATTGTAATTACTGTGCTGGGTGTATTTTCACTTACTCCTAAGAACTATGGCAAACACAGACCCAGTGCTCATCACGTGCTAGCACCAGACACATACGGATTCACAGAAGCCTTGAGACCACCCTGTGAGCAGGGCCACAGCATTGTCTCCATTCTATAGATGACAAAGTGAGTCACTGAAGTCACCCACGCAAGCTCGCTCAGCTAGGAAGTGATGAGCTGGGAACCAACGATGCAGGCAGTATGGCTCCAAATCTCAGCTCCTGGCCACTGTGCTCTGACGGCCGCCGGAACGTGCGGGAAGCACCCAGACTTCTAAAATTGACTTACTCAGTTCTGCCGGCCATCGTGTGACAGGACTCCAGCACACAGTCCGGCACAGACAAGGCCCTGGTAAACATGTGATCGATATGCTACACAAATAGAAACCGATGCCGAGATACTCCAACAGGGCAATGTTTTAAGAGGTAAAACAGCACAATCATGGTGGTAATAAATGAAAAAGTCTTCCCCTCAAAAACAGAGAACATTTCACAGCTATGCAACCCAATTACTCCATCGGCATCAGATCTAAGTTATAACTGGTGTGCTTCATTTACAAGAAAACTTAGACCAGGACCAAGGCCCTATTTCAGATGAGGAGACGACAACCTACTCAGAAGCGCCGGCTTGATGACGGACACTCTGCCGGGCCTGCAACGTCCCCAGGAGCCATCTCGTCTGCCGGCACACGGTGGTGCCTGGTGCTGTTGGCTGAGTTACTCCCGTTCTCATTTTGGACGCATGCAGGGAGGGCTCTGCTCTCCCCACACCTTGACTGCATCCCAGTGAGTTGAGTGTGGCAACCCTCATGCCTCTAACCTTGGAAACACATTTGCTTTCAATGGACAGAGCATGCTTGGCCCTCAGACAGGTGAGCGCGCGGACACACACACACAGGGACACACACACACACACACACACACACACACACACGGTGTACTTCTCGGGTATGAGTGCGGTACCCAGGGTCCCCTGGATCTCGGTTTATGAGGAGAACGTGAAAAGGCCGGCCTACTGGCTTCCCTCCCAGGACCCTCAGTGCACTCATTCCCATGGAAGCAGCCGGCACACGGCCTCTCGCAGAAAGACCGCGAGGGGAGTTTCTGCAGCCGCAGGGGCGGTCACCCAGAGCAGCCGCTAGCGGTGGGAGGGCGGGCAGCTCTGAGCCCTCCTCATCCCGCAGTGGTCTCAGGGCTGGAAGCCCCTGGCAGACAGGACCCAGGCTCCGCCACTGCATCTCGCTTCCTGATGGCCTGTGACAAAGGCCTATTTTTGTTTGCGTATCTACCCAATGCCTCAACCAGCATGCCATCCTTGTCACTGCTTAGGACAGGACGGGATGAACCACTGTCTGAGACAGTGAACTTGAACCTTCTCCCAGGCACCCGTTCTCCTACCTAGGCTTTAAGAAGTCTGGGGCCTTTTGCAGGGCCACGCCCATCCTGCCTGCTGGTAGTGGGTCCAGCTCTTCTCCAACAAAGACCACCCACACAAGCAGGGGTCCAAGCAGCGGTGCACGGCCACCCGCCCACAGTGGCTCCAGACACGCAACGCCACACGAGGTCAGCACTGCTGGCGCCACGCCTCTGGGGTCGGAGGGAAGGATGCCCCAGGCCCCTGGGAGCTGAGCCAAGCAAAGAGCCGGGTGGGGGCGAGAGCTGAACAGAAGCTGGGGCTGCATCGGGGTTCAGACCTTCTAGAGGCGCCGGCGGGGAAGAGGGAGGGGACCGGCGCGCCTTGGAGGAACAAAAGATGCGGCAGAGCAGCGCAGGGTGGGGAAGGGGCAGTGGGTGCAGCCACTATGGGGCGAGGCAGGAGGGTGGCAGGAGGAGGGATGAGTGGTGGGGATAAAAAACAAATAGGGGAAAAGGGTACGTAGCCGAGCTGGGTGCACCAGCGGCGGGGCATCCCCGGGCCCCTGGGGCCAGCGCAGGGTGAAGGGGCAGTGGGTGCAGCCACTATGGGGCGAGGCAGGAGGGTGGCAGGAGGAGGGATGAGTGGTGGGGATAAAAAACAACAAAGGGAAAAGGGTACGTAGCCGAGCTGGGTGCACCAGCGGCGGGGCATCCCCGGGCCCCTGGGGC